GGTCCCGAGTTGCTGGGGGCCCCTGAAAAATTTTTGTTGGGCCCCAGCCTTTTTTGAGTGTTAAATATTTCCGCGCAAAGGACAAGATATCTGTTCTCTTGGGCTATAAGTACCGAATTTTGGCATAAAAAATGAGATAAAGTCCCTCGAAAGCAATTGCAACGTACTCGTCCGGAAAAATTTTGTACTCAGGAAAATAATTTTTGCCCCTAAAATGGTACACTGACCGAAATTTTTTTGTCGACGAGGGGTGGGGGGTGGGGGAGGTTTTTCTCCGGAAAAAAAATTTTCCGTGAAAAATTTTTTAGATAGGGGCCCCTAAAAAAAAATTTGCCCCGGGCCCCCGCCAACCTCTCGGCGGCCCTGCCTGGGACTCATGCATTTTTCCTTATTTCTAACAGGTTATAAAACAAAACAAACAGCTTGTTTACTGTCAAGCTGGAAAAACCCTGCATAACAACATATAAAGTCAATTACTTTGTCAAATTGGGCAACAAAACATTTATGCTGTTGAATATATTTTAAACTCACAGTTTTGCTTCCACCCATAGCTACAATCATGGCAAAAATTCTGTGGACACTTATAGGTGTGAACGATTAAATTATTAGGCCTACTGTTCACATGCACATGTTGGCATCTTCATCTCCCCCATCAGTCACAGAGCTTTCGCGTAACCGATCTAGAAGCTTTTCAACAGTTAAAAAATGCTGTTTTTGCACGTATGTTTTGGGCAAGGCAGGTATTTGTATTTTTGCGCACACTGTCCACAATATATGATTTTTTTCCAGGATTGTAAGTGGATATTCTAATTTAGGGGCTGCTTATATGAGCGTCTACTGTAGATCTCAAAACCAAGCTGATATCTGTCAGCCAAACATCTTTCCTTGAAATTGATGGCAATAATACAAGTTTAGACCCAATCTATTCATGCAGAATCTTATTTGTATATCCTATTAATTATTCTTGTGTGTATACTGTGTATTCTAGCACAGTCTAAATCTTGAAGATTCAATAAGTGTAAGTGCTTGCGTTGCGTGGACACGCGCGCGTGTACAGATCGGAAACGTTCGTACGTTGTCGTGCCTTTTTGGCGGGAAAGAACACAAAAGAAAAGAACATGTTTAATACGAAAGGACAAGCTTTTTGTATTTTAAGATTTGTAAATTAAGATAAAGGCCGAGTCATCAACGTTGTTTACCCGGCCAAAACCAAGTAACCTAAAGATAAAACATGAATAAAGATTGATGAACATTTACAGTAAACAACGAGACTCACAAACGTGTATATTTCAAGTGTGAATATTTGTGAGTATGACACATTTTATACGGACAAGAAACTATGCAAGAAACTATGAAAACAGTGAAGCACCTCAAGGACTTTGACACCTTTTCTGCTATTCAAGACCTGGTAGTAAGACTTCCACCTTATTACAGCAAGAAGTGGTTACAAAGTGCGAAAGCGGTTGAGCTTGTTAAAGGAAAGTATGATTTTAACGACCTAGTTAACTTTGTGCAAAAGGCAGCAAAGGATGCAACTCATCCAGTGTTCTCGCATGAAGTTCTGTTATCTAAGAGAAAGGAGTTGTTGAAAGACAAGAAGCAAGAAGACAAGAATAGTTATCACAAGAGAAAGTTTGGCTCATTCAACACAAGTAAGTACAATGAAAGCTCTGGTCATAGTGATAAGAACATAAATGAACTCATGTGCCCTGCATGTAGAAAGCCTCACAAATTGGACAACTGTGACATATTCCTAAAGAAGTCTGTAAAGGAACGATCAGAATTAGCTAAGTCGAAAGGGCTTTGCTTCCTGTGTTTATGTCATGGTCATATGGCCAGGAATTGCAAAGAATCCATTAGATGCCAGACTTGTAAGAAACCCCATGCCACACTTCTCCATTTTGAATCCAAGGAGTCTAAGAACGGGAATAAGAAAGAGAACGAAGAGTCTAGCAAAGAAAAGCCTAAAGTAGCTAATCGTGTCGTAGTGTGTCATAGCAATGATTGCAATGAAGTAACAACATCGTCTTTAATACTTCCGGTATGGATATGTCACAAGGACAATCCTGAGAAGAAAATAATGACATATGCTGTTTTAGATGATCAAAGTGACACATGCTTTGTAACGGACAGTGTTTGTGATCAGTTAGAAATTGAAGCACCTGAGACTGTGATTGAGTTAGGAACAATGCACGCTGTAGAAGATATCAGAACCCAGAAAATTAGCGGTCTTATTGTTTCATCGGAAGATAAGTCAGTAGATGTACCTTTACCAAAAGATTATTCCCGTGAAAATATTCCAGCACGTCGAGATCAGATCCCTAGAGTAGAAATGGCGATCAATTGGAGTCATTTGAGTCCAATTGCCAATGAAATACCAGAATATCGTGATGATCTCGGTATTGGTCTCCTAATTGGTAACAATTGTGTCGAAGCTATCAAACCACGTGACGTTATTCCCGGAAAACCTCAAGACCCGTATGCTATTAGAACTGTATTCGGTTGGGGTTTGATTGGAGTAACAAACCCTGTTGATCACCGCGAATGCCAATCAGACGGAACTAGAATACATTGCCATCGAGTTACAACCAAAGATATCACAACCCAGAGTACTGGTTCGACATTTGTAGAGCAAACCCAAGTAAAGGAAGTACTGAATCCTCACGAAGTGTTAAAGATGTTTGAACAGGACTTTTCGGAAAAGAAGAGAGAGAAACCAATGTCGTTATAAGATCGAATGTTCCTGGATATAACGAAAAGAGAGATTCACGTTACTGACGATGGACATTATGAGTTGCCACTTCCGTTTCGAAACGACAAAGTTAAATTACCGTCGAACAGAAAGCTTGCTGAATCAAGGTTAGATGGCCTTAAAGCAAAGTTCGCCAAGGATGCCAAATACAAAAGAGATTATATGCAATTTATGGATGATATGATGAAGAAAGGCTACGCTGAGAAAGCTCCACAGACTGATGGAAAACCGTGGTATATACCTCATCATGGAGTGTACCATCCACACAAACCCAATAAGATCAGGGTCGTATTTGACTGCTCAGCCGAATATGAAGGTCAGTCATTAAATCAACATCTTTTACAAGGACCTGACCTAACGAACTCGCTCACTGGTGTACTTTGTCGATTCCGCGAAGAAAGAATAGCGTTTACGTGTGACATCGAATCCATGTTCTGTCAGGTACGTGTGAATGAAGAGCATCGCGATTACTTAAGGTTCTTGTGGTGGCCTGACGGAGATA